CTTATCTTATCTTATCTTATCTTATCTTAACCGATCATCGGTTACTTGGGTCCAACCGCTGATCGATTACGAGATTACAACCGATTGACAACACTAATTAAGACTGTGGTAGCCACAAGGTACCTTCTCGATTCTCACTGTGTGGCGCTTTCCTATGACGTGAAACAGTCATAGGGCTTGGTCGAGCTCAGATTTTGGTGGTAAATGCAGTCCGTGTTTATTTACAATAATTATTAAAACGGTTCAAGTGCTTCATATAGCAACACAAGATTTCTCCCAACCAGTAAGCTCAAGGTTAATCTTCAATGTTCAAGGGACTATACTGAGGCAGGAGAGAGTCAAGGTTGATAGATTAACACTGTGCATTGCAGTGAAAAAAGTAAGTTGTACAATTAACTAGAGAAGGAGAAAGAAAATCCAAAATAGAATAACAGAAACAAAAAGGCTAAACTTGAATGGATCATTCGAAGACAACACATGGAAAAAGCAGTGATCCGAGTCAGGTGAGGATGTACTATGAATGGGTGTCATCAACCAAAGTAGCCAATTCCCATTCATACCCCACACCCTCATAGTTAAAATGCCACTGTTACTGCTACGTCCTATTATTTCATAATTCATACTCATAGCTAATGTGAGTGCAACAAATGTGTGAGTGGTCACTCGACTCAATGGTATTTGTCAACTATGTTGTAAAGTCACTACCTTGAAATTGCACCAAAGGAAGTTGCAGAGTTACAGGCTGGCATTCAGTGAGATTTAATTCTCCCATTCTGAAGTTAGCATGTAAAATATTACTTGTATTTTCTAATTATTGGGGTGCAGTGCCAGCGTTTGGGATGCATTGCTGTGTAACACCGTGTGTCCAGCTATGTTCAAATACTTTTGTGTGTGTGTGTGTGTGCGTGCGTGCGTGCGTGCGTGCGTGCGTGCGTGCGTGCTGTGCGTGCGTGCGTGCGATGCGTGCGTGCGTGCGTGCGCGACTGTGGCGTGCGTGCACACCGCGTGTGTCTTTACTCAAGGCATAGCACAATAACGTTCTCGTCTGTCATTGCATGTGAAGTTACAATAACATATGCGCGTGGGAACTTGTCTCGATTCCTGAAACAGCGACAGTTGAAGAACACCGATCTGGAGATGTAACCAGATGAGTAAGAAAGTAGCACTGCCAGTTAAGCTGACATAGGAATTGTCGATTTAAATGTGGTCAAAAGCAATATCAAGAAGAGTAGTAAACCGGCTACCGATAAAGATACTGGCTCATTTAATGGTTTACACTAACCTAACACTAATCTAGGTTGAAGTGTGTCTGCTGACCATATCAAAGTGTGCAGGACTGGGTGAGGCACATCCTTAAACCAATTCTATGTTTGCCCCAACACCATGATTTCTTAGTGGTGTAGGTAGTAGCGTCTTCTTTTTTGTGAGGGCATAAATAGTTATTTATACGTATATGTAGCCACTGACTTATATATTTTTATAAGTCTGTCCTTATGTTGGCCACACATGCTTTGTGTTTCAGTCTTAACTCTGAGAAAAAAATGTTAAAAAAAATGTAAAAAAAAACTTTTGGGTCGCGGCTATTTTCGTGGTCGGTCGAAGGACAGCAAACATATAATTTTTAAAGGATGGCCTGAGCAGGCAACGTATTCTTGGCCAATTTATCTGCCTAGCACGTCTCGCATATATATTGGTACAATCAAGAGCGTATTAAGAAGTATTAAGAATTACCTTCGTTTATTACGCTCGTTACAATTAACAATTGGTTATTATAAACAGTAAATCTCTCAAGGGTATCCGGAGCATTGCGAATTTTAATAGTACCCTCATAAAATTGTAGCACCCTCCAACCGAACTTTTCCTTTTCACCAAAAGAACTTAAAACAACCAACTTCCTGTGTTGGAATTCTGCCATGATCACATTTACAGACACTCCATTTCTTTGCTTCTCTCTACCACAGTACACACACACAAAACACGCACAACACACGCACGCGCACGCACGCACGCACAACACGCACGCACGCGCACGCACGCACACACACACACACAAACACGCAGGCGACGCACGCACGCACGCACGCACACACACACACGCACACGCACACGCACACACGCACGCGAGCCGACGCACGCCGCGCACGCAGCACGCCACGCACGCCACAGCAACGCACGCAACGCACGCACAGAGAAACACACACACACACACACAAAATATTTGAACATAGCTGGACACCGGTTACACAGCAATGCATCCCAAACGCTGGCACTGCACCGAATAATTAGAAAATACAAGTATATTTACATCTGACTTCAGAATGGAGAATTAATATCTCACTGAATGGCCAGCCTGTGAACTCTGCCAACTTTCCTTTTGGTGAATTTCAACGTAGTGACTTTACAACATAGTTGACAAATATCTCATTGGAGTCGAGTGACCCACTCACACATTTGTGGTGGCACTCACATTAGCTATGAGTATGAATTATGAAATAATAGGACGCTAGCCAGTAACAGCTGGCCATTTTAACTATGAGGGTGGGGCGTATGAATTGGGAATTGGCTACTTGTGGTGGAGACACCCATTTCATAGTACATTCTCACCTGACTCGATCAACTGCTTTTCCATGTGTTGTCTTCTAGAATGATCCATTGCAAAGTTGTATGCTTTTTGTTTCTGTTGATTCTATTTGTGAGTTTTCTTTCTCTCTCTAGTTAATTGTAGCGACTTACTTTTCACTGCCATGCACAGTGTTAATCTATCA